GGGGGATGGCGGGACAGGGACAGGGGAACACCTCCCAAATTGAGGGGGTTGGGGGGTCTCCCCCGGAAAATTTAAAAAAAAATAGCCCCTCTTAGATTGAATTTGTAGCAGTTTCAGCACACAATTCATGCATTATTTGAAAGTTGAAAATTGACGAATAATACCCCTTTTAGCGTAATTTTCTTTCATGGACTGTTTACTTCTGCGGCATTGAATAACCTTTGGTCTGGTAAATTTTCGTGTTATAGTTCTGTCTTGAAACTATTTCAGTAAATGTTTAGAAGCCTTTTTCTTCCTCTACTTCTTTTTGCCCTTTCTCCCTTTTTCTTATTTCTTTCTTCCTTTTTTTTCGGCCCGACATGACCGAGTAAGGCTGCTTCTCTTGTCGGTTAGGTATCGTCACGGAGAACGCTGCTCTATGTGTATTCACAGAAAGTGGCAAATTCTTACTTGATTGAATGAAGATGCTCGCTCTGACAAGGTGGGAATCTTACCGGTTAAGGTGCTCTCATCGACGATGCATGTGCCATGGATGAGGACAGCGTCACACATGAGAATGCATCCAGCCGGCGGGAGCGTGAGCAAATCTCCGGGAACCAACAGCTGCGTCGGTAGCGTCTCTCTTTTACCGTCGGTACGAACTTCAACGAACGTCGGAGACTCAACCAAGTTTCGGAGAGTCGTTTGCGTCTAAGTCAGAGAAATAATATTGTGAAAACAAATTGGACTCGCGCAATGTGAATATTGATGAGGCTGAAATCTCATAGAGGAAAAAAAGGAGGTGTTTGCATTTCGGGTATCTTGGAATTTTTTGATGATTTGATGACGTAGGTCGGTACAGCGACGTCCCCTTTACGCTAAACGTCGCTGTGCCGACCTAAGTCATCAAATCATCAAAAAATTCCAAGATGCCCGAAATGCAAACACCTCCTTTTTTTCCTCTATGCTGAAATCTGACAAATGAGACGTGCGTGCATTATTTCCTGGTTAAGTGGTAAGCGGCACTTACCTTTGGACCATATCCTACATTGAGGTCAGCACCAAATGACACTTACCTCAGTGCCGAAAAAGACTGAGATTAGTGCAAAAAACACTGATATCGGTCTTGATCTGTCAGATTAGAGTTCGTGAAGATTGATCATGGTTTGATCACCCTCTTACAGCCTTAGTCCAAGTTACCTCTCTCCTTTTGGAGGTTTACTAAAAGTCATCGGCAACTTCGGTCGACAGTGAAAATGAAAATAAAAATAAGAATGTACCTGCGCACCTTACGGGCTTGATAAACGGCTGCCACCACGCTGGCAAGAGATAAAGTGAATATAGTGAGCGAAAAAAGGTAGTATTCTTCGAGTGCCCACAGGAAAAGGGAGAATATCTCAAAGACGTAAAACGGATTAATAATCTCTTTAAATAGTAACGCCGTAATACTGCTCTCAGGGATTGTTATCTCGTTCGGACCGTAAATTCCTCGCCTGGAAGAAATATTGATTTAAAAATATAATGAATGCATGGGATAAATTATTTCAATTGTAGTGAGGCCAACATATACAGAATTGTTATCAGAAGATGAGCTGAACAAGTAGACACACCATGACTTGCATAAAAAAAAAAAAAAAAAGTATCAAGGCGCTAGCACGACATGAAAATGCCACCAACAATGGTGGAACTCCTCAGTAAAAGAACCTACAATGATTGAAAATTTAAAACGCCTTCATTGTTTGGGTATGCAATACGGACATCCCTCGAGTACGAATAGTTGCATTCAGGGGCTTTTATCAATGGTGTCGCCCGACGTGCTCTCTCATCCTCTTGAAAATCTACCAGAATTATAGAATTTCTTCTTTTAATACAAGATGACTTTAGAGCTCTAAATCTCAAGAAGTTCTGCCATCCTAAATGACTTTCAAATGCAGAGAAAAATTATCGAACTTTTTAACAGTAGTAGTTTAGCATTTGGATTTCACAAAAATTGGGAAAGGGATTCGATGTAATAATTTGTTCTAAGTCGCACAATCTTTGCAGGGTAGTGCAAGCCTCATAGGTCACTAACCGAAAACGCCCTCATATCGATGATTAAATAACGAACACTTCAGACTTTACGTGAAAAGTGTGTCCTTTTGGCTGGTTTAAGCGATTAGGTGGGGATTCGGCCGGTGGGGATTCGGCCGGTCGGATTTTTCGTGGGGATTCGGCCGGTTTCTGATTTATTATTCAGAGTATGGAAAGTTTGGCAACAATGCACAGAACAAACATGAATAAAACGTGGTATACAAGAAATGAGCTATTTAACATAGTGTACTTACTTTATACTCAACGCTATGCGACCCAATTCCTAAACTTTCCTCCAAATTAACTGGTTAAAATGAAAGTTACACCCGTGCAATTTTGCGTCAGGATATAAATTTGACAAAACGGATATGACAGCAATCTCAAAATCTAAACAGAAACTTTCTGGCTTCCACGTTGGAAATTTTTCGTTTAAAAAATGAAATAAGCGTTGATAAGTACGTTTCTGCTTGTTCGGAAGTAAAGCGTAAAAAATAGGAATGCAGCAAACAGAATGGTGGGTGCTTCTGTACTTTGCATGAATTGTATACAGTTGAGCAAATTGTTTTGGACATGCATAAAATGTCCCGCCAATAAAAAAGTCTTGTTTAACAGATAGTACTTCTTGGATTAATTTTGTCCATCCAAACATTAAAATTCGGTCTTTTTGACCGTCGTCACAAATTAAAAAATTTGATCCGTCCGACTATCAGTTCACGACCCCGATAAACATGATTTCAATCTCGAGATGTCACCAACATGATAAGAGTATTTCTCTGCTTCGCATTAGTACATTGTTGCCAAACTTCCCACACTCTGGATAATAAATCGGAAACCGGCCGAATCCCCACGAAAAATCCGACCGGCCGAATCCCCACGCGACCGGTTTAAGCAGTTGAGACAGAGTTCAATTTGTTAAAAGAAATCTTAACTTGGATTCAAAGGTGAACTTAAATTAAAGCATAGCTTAGATTTTAAGTACATCCAACCCCACCTTGCATTACGCTCCTGCATTGATAAACCATCTTTTTTGGTCAGTAACGAAACTGGCATCTCATAATCGAGTCCACGTAATCGATCAAATGTCAAGCACTCAGGATTCCATACGTAGCGCTGCTTCTTGAAGTCAAATACTTTAACGGACTCTAAACCTGAATAGAAAAAAAATTTGAGCGATGAAATGATATTACTTCTTGAACTTTTGCACAGGTTATTTTCAATCGTATGATTTTGGTGTGGTTTTTCGCTAGTACCTACATCTTTCATTCACGTGCAAATTGAGGCTGAGCGTGTAGAAATCTTCAATCTCGATATGAAAAAATTCAGTATGTTTACAAGTGTTTCACAATGAAACATTCTCCAAAATGTTTGGTGCCTTGCAGGTGCAGCCAACAGCAACCTGCAGATCAACGTGTTTCACAAGTGCAAGCCAGATATTTTAAACTTGTTACGATAAGCAACTGTATTGTCGTGATCATTCAGGAATTGTTGGAAATTTTGTCTTTTTTCATCACCAAGAAAAAAAGTGTGAGTTTGCCGTTCCAAAGAAACTATCAATATCAAATTATTAATAGCAGAGTTGAATATTTTCGATTTACTAAAAATACTTTTTGCACATCTAAGTGTCTATAAAAATTATGAGATTTATTAGAATTTCAATTAGTTGTTGATGATCTCACTGTAAAAAGCGCAGGCTAACTAAAGCTACTTACTTTTAAAATTTCCTCCGCTCACGTGGAATTCAATCTTCGATCGCCTTTGCTGGCTGTTAACCTTTCCTTCGGCAAGTTTTTCTGCTTCACTAGGAACAGGGAACTATTGTCCATCTTAAAAAATACTCTTGCATTGGAAAATTAGAATGGAATGTAATATATTGCTTTTCATTATCATAAAATTCCGTGATAGCCTCCTGGTGCCAATCTTAATAAAACAGATAAAAAATTCTAGTTCCAAAATATTAGAACATTTTTATTTGTTTTCATCTATTTTTTGAGGCAATGAGAATTACTTCGGTACTTACTGCCAAAAAATTCCCATTTCTCCCTATGGGTGCTTCTAAAAAAAATGATTGGTGTTGTTTTCTCTATATTTTCTTTACCTTTTCCTCTTTAGTATTTTAAACTAAATTAATTTTCACATTCGTGTGATGTCATTCCATTCCGAAAATTTAAACAAAAATTGCTCCTAAAATCCCTCAATTTTTTTTTGTACGGGATAATAAATTTGAACCATCCGCCTCAGTTGATCGTCTTAAAGTAAATCTCATGTCGCTGACATGAAATTAATTTTATTTGGAAGGAATCGGAAGAATTGGAAAAAAAGCTCTAAAGAAAGCTTCAGGAAAAAGCCAACCTGGGTATGCACAATCGTGATCTGTGTATTGATAAGAATTCCACGGTCTACAACGCCCGTGATAAAGATTGCCTTAACTGGTGCCCCGATAAAGGAAGAACTTGAAAATGTTAAAGGATTTACAAATCATTTCAAAGTGAATCTCAAGTACCTATACAATGACACTAAAATCGTGATATTTCACGGTAAGCATGTTGTATGTAAATATGATATCTTGATTGGTGTTTTACCTGAGTGTCAGAGGATTCAATATCTTCATTCTCTTCACGTGATACCCGATCACTCTTTTGTCATTACGTTCCTACAAACATGTAAATGTCCGGATGAATTAATTTCGAGCGTTGCGTTGTCAATTGTCAAGAATGCAAGCGTTTGAAACAATTTTCTTCTAAAACTGGCAACAGCGTGCGCCGGAAACCCCAGACCGCGGTTTTCATAAAATTCGCGATTTTACGTTCCGTAACTTCGTAATGCAATTTTTGGGTATTATTTGTTATAAATGATGCAAGATTAACTTCTCTAAGCTGCATCTAGGAGGAAATTAAACTTATAATTCATAGTTATCTTAATCCCCCTTATTAGAGCCCAGTTGTTTTACTCCATCACAAACTGGACCGCGTTAAACAGAAAGGAACCAACTCACATCAGCTATTGCCAAATTTAATTGGGCAATTTAATTTTTTACATGAAAACGGTTGTGTGGATTTTCGTGCAAATTTCAGTGAAAATTCTCCTTGGTACGAAGCAAATTCCTTAAAATTTTCAAAGAAATCCGAACAAACGTTCTCTCGTAAACAATTTAATTGCCCAGATAATCTTGGCAATTACTGATGTGGCTTGGTTCCTTTCTGTTAAACTTGGTCCATAAGATTAATCAACGTTCAAATATATTAGGGTACACTTCTGAGTGATTTCAACTTCGATAGAGCTTTATTCTTGTTACTTGCTTTGTAAAAGCTTATAAATTGTATTGATGTTATACATAAATATCAGTAATGCTAAGCGTCTATTTGACCATTTGAGCGAGGCATAAAAAAGCTCTTACCGCCAGAAGTAAAGAGTCAGCTTCGTCAAACGAACATGGTTTGTGAGTCGCATAGAGATGCAGGCGAGGATACCAATAGAAGAGAAGTCGCAAAGCTCCCAGGGTAGAAACAATGCCAACCCACGAGATAGTCTGGAAAACCCGAGATACTTTGTATCCTCGTATTCCCTGCGATTAGTTATTGATATTAAGGTCTGAAGTACATTCATTATTCATAAACACAAAGATTTGAGATTTAGAGCGTGTCAATTCAAAAAATGTTTGCGCAAGTTTTTTTCTTAAATACGGAAAGGATGATGTGCACGGCGCGGCGTAAAGCTCCACAATAAAAACTTAAGACAAAAACTGGCGAATTTTTCTCAATAGAGAAAATATATCTTACATACATAAAGCCGCTTTTATAGCGCAGCCTCGCGCTCTGCATGCGACGCCCAACCGTCATTGCTCCCTATCCTCCCAGAGATCATCAGGGAACTGGCACCTTCTGATCTCCTCCTCCACCCCTTAACGCCAACCTTTCACAGGACGTCCACGCCGTCTAAAATAGATCTTACCATCTCAAATATAGTAGTGATGAATGACGACAGGTAATTTATTTTCATTTTTACCCTCCTTCCTCTTCCCTTTTGGTGGTATCTTTATAGACTTAACATAACCTTTTCAGTCACCGTGCGTAAAATAACAAGCGGTCGTTTGAATGGATCTTGGAAGGAATTGAAAACTTCTTTTTGGGTCTCTGATGATTCCAAATCGTCTCAAACACCAACATTCATCACTTGAAACAGTTTTACGAAAGTGACTATAATCGTTAAAAATCGCGTTGCGTTGAGTGCAATCTTACCCTTTTCCCATGTGCAGGAAACTACAAAATACTATGGGAAAAAGCAGTACTTCATTTTGATCGCGAAAAAGATATATCTCAAAATATCCATTAACAGAATTAAGTAAAGAAATTGTAAGTTTATGGTAATGGATGAAATAGACTCACCAGTTGATCCTCATTGTCACCGTTCACATCAATCACCGATATTTTATTATCATCAGTTTGATGTCCTGTCGGAAAAATTTATAAGCTCTAAATTTACGGGTCAAAAATTGTGACAGTCATGTGGTTTGAATGTAAAATACTATGTACGTACGTGTAAATATGAATTCAACGTGTATTCGTAACTTTCACGTGTATACGTGTTACGCACTCCGATCCAGTGATGTATGCATTCAGTTAGTTAGTTAATTTTATTAGTGACATTCAACATCTTATTTCAATCTTAGTTTCGATTAAAAAAACAGAATTTCTGGCGAAACGTCTCGTTTTTGTTTCGTCTTTTTGAAGCTTGTTTCCCCGGATTTAAAATTTATCGTCGTATGCTTTTACATATGAGGGGTTTGGAGCCTCTTGGAGGACAAGGTGCATTAGTGCAGTTTTTGCTATTTCGAAACATACAAATTTGAAGTTTTGAAATTACATGGATCCTTATGGCGGAAAGAAAGTCCAAACTGACTTTTTGATGCTAAAAAATTGAAATTTGGTAGCGATTTTTTCTCAGAATATGCATTAAGACTAGTTTTACTTGAAATCATTGATATCTCAAGTACTTCAAAAATTGCACCTATGTGCCTTGTCCTGCAAGCCCGTCATATGTTTATTAACCTTTCATTTCAATCTGGTGGAGGCGAAATTTTACATTTCGCTAGGTTTTAAATCAAACTGACGAGAAACTCATATACAGTCCTCCTCTACCTATTATTACAGGAAACTAAATGATTGATCATCAAAAATTAATCGTCTCAAAATAGATTGATATCTACAGCTCATTGCTACAATAAAGAGATACTGGATACAAATAATATTTTTCCCCTCAAGAGTCTCACTTAAAGATGTGAAAAATTATAATTAGTAGATACAGTGGACTCTCGATAATTCGAAATTGAAGGGAATCGGCTTTTTATTCGAATTAGCGAGGTTTCGAAATAAAGAGAGTTCAAATTAAATAGATTTTATGTGGAAAAATTTCGAATGAGAAAGGTTCGAATTATAAAGGGAAGGCGCCATTTGAATTCGAATTATAGAGGGGCAAATGGACGGATTTACGCCAAAAGGTCTTTAGGTCAAAGGTCAAGCTCTTTCAGACACCCAGATACATAAACAGTTGATTTCGAATTGTAGAGGAAATGTACCGTCTTATTTCGAATAATAAAGGGAGGGCCATATTTACTTCCCTTACTTCGAATTATAGAGAGAATTTTCGTCGCAATTTCGAATTATAGAGGGCCGCGCCAGCTTAAAAATTTCGAAATAACGAGGGGAGAAAAATACATTGATTTTCTTCGAATTATCGAGAGATTTTCAAGGGAAACGGACTTTCCTTCGAATTAACGAGGTTTTCGAATTATCGAGAGTCCACTGTAAAAGTAACTCTCCTCTGATATTTTCTTGAGGGGGCTGGGGAGAAGTGTAATGAAAACACAATTGAATTGTTCGGCCATCGAAATTAGACGTATTTCTGTCAAACGCAACTATGTGCATTATGACGTGAGCCTTGTCATGCATATATTCTTATGGATCTCAGGGCTCATTTCTTAATGCACATAGTTTCGTTTGACAGAAATACGTCCCAATGGCGCGGCGTGAATGATCGATTATCGATATTCCCCTATTTGAAGCTAGGGTAAAGAATCGATTATCAAGGTGCTCGCTGCGAACACCCTATAAATCGATTCATTTCCATAGGTTTAAATGGTAGATCAATCGATATATCGCAAAGCACGCCACGCCACTGATACGTCCAATTCAAGATCATCGTTCCTCGTTTTCCGATCCTCATTTTTTACGAAATAGTTGGGCAAAGTAAAGCACAGGCACATGAAAAGCACCGCTTGAGTGCGTGCACGCCGAAAAATGGATGATGATCCCAGACATGGTTTGATTAGCAAAATCTCGCTCAATCCCAATGATAACCCTGTAGATAACCCTGCAAATCTTAATGCGTAACACAAATACAGTCAAGACTATTAAAGCCTTACTTTCATTCTAACTCGAAATATTGAATTTTTTAGTTAGTCTTGGCCCACCTCTATGTAACGAAGGGTTCGTGATTGGTTCTTGCTTTGCCAATCCAAAGCAGGGACAAACCTGGAGTCAAACATAAATTGTCATTCAAGCTGAAATTCTCGAGGCGTATTTTGGGTGACTAGCTTTTTCTTTCCAAATACAGACGGTTTTTATATCCTAAGGTTTACGTAATAGAAATGTTTGACTTGAGATCCCATGTATTTATCTAATTTTGCGTGAGAAGCTGCTCAAACCGTTAAACTCTTCGATGAGTAACATACATTAGTAAACAAATCTAGAATGAGCCTCCATGAGTGGAAGTAGGAACTTTTTGTTAGGGGCAGGAGGGCACTTAAACAGGGGGACACTGCGAGACCCTCTACCATGTGAGATTCGTAGGACTCCTTCAGATTTGAAGGAGATTTTGGGGGATTTCCTTGGCTTCAGATGGGGTTCGGAGGGGGGGGGTGCCTCGAGAAAATTCTGAAAAATTGAGTCGTCTCAAGATCAATTTTGAGCTGCTCTCGCCAAAAAAGTGATCCAATTAAAATTTCAAAGGTGAAAGTTATGGTAATCCTTATACTTATCAAAATTTTTCAAATTTTCTTGGGAGGCGAAGTAAATTTCTAGGAGGGACAGCCCCCCTGACTTTCATCCCCTAGTCGCCCTCCCCCGTGTGAGCCTTATTACATTAGACGTTGCCTTATTTCTTCTCATAGTTTTATTTTTATTTTTATTTTGTTTTTAGACAACAATCCAAGGAAATTCTGACTTAAATTTTGAGCAGTATTCTCTATATTTCTAACAGTGTAATGCGCACATTTTCTGAAATCTCCAACTGAACCCAAAAGGAGAGGTTGCGATTTGGGCCGAAATCGGCCAACTCACGAAATCGGGATATTTTTGGATTTTTAGTAGTTTTCGATGCATGTTTTACAGAAATAGTCGGATTATGCCGATACCCACATTTTCTGGCTCAGAAATAGGGGCCTAAACATGGCCCTGAAGCTCAAAATCGCTGAAAATTTGCGTTTTCCGCGGTTCTACCTCAGATTTCAACTTGGGCCCAAAGGTGACGGGTGATCATATTCTCGTAAGTTACGCCTCTTTGTGTCCTTCACGACTTATTTGAAGCTTATGATCTGTCACTTTTGGGCCCAGCTCAAAATCTGAGGTTGATCCGCGGAAAACATGGATTTGCAGTTATCTGGGGCTCCAGAGCCATGTTTAGGCCCCTGTCTCTGAGCCAAAAAATGTGGGTATCGGCAAAACCCGACAATTTCTGTAGAATATGCATCGTCAACTGCCAAATATCAAAAAATAACCGATTCCGTGGAGGGATCAATTTCGGCGCAAATCGCAACCCCTCCTTGAAAGCAAAAATTAAGTTAGTTAAAGAACCTATGACTTTCAAGATGAAATATTTCTTTCATATAATATTTTATATAATATTTTTGTACATTATTCTATTTTTATCGTATAGTTACACGAATTAATGAATTTAACAATGAAAAAAAAGTTGAAGTATTTCTCATTTGCGTATACAGTGCACGTTATGACATATAGCAGGAATACAGATGTTTTAAAATTTAGCTCTAATACCGCTGAAATGTTTTCCGCAATAAATCTATTGATATATTTTCTATACCATTTCGTTTATGAACTAGTAAGTATTTGCCCCGAAAGAGAATTTCAGGGAAACACTGCAGATTTTTAAATGTTTGTTTACTTTCGCCGGACTCCCCTTACAAATAATGAAAACGTAAGATAAATCGCAAAAATAACACATGGTGTATGATAATTTCGTACCTGGCATTTTGGCAAATCCACAATAAATTCTTCAAATTCAAGTTGAAGGGATAACACTTCCGGAGCAAGCAGTTTTATATTTTTTTTTCGAAGTACGTATTGTACGGTTCATCGAATGAATTATCTTGATTCACACACATTGTCAGTGACTTTACTCATAGTCAATAATAATGAAAACCAAGTGGTAAATTATTCAGAACTGTTATTTTGTACTCGAACTTTTGACGGTTTCTCAACGTCAGCTGATCAAAATGGGACTAATCTAGACGGAAACAACTTTTGATCAATGAAGAACTTAAAAAAGGGGGTCTCTTTTATGATAGTTTATTCGCAACACTGAATGTTTACACGGCGAGGATAGCATAGGTTGATTGCGCAAACAGAGTCAGTGCTGCGATAACATTCGAGAGAGCCGGATGCCGGCGATTCGTCGCATCCCGTTGTGGCAACTAAAATGTAGCCCATCAAAATTGAACAAGGTGAATGTCAACAATCCAAGTCAATGGAACAATACTACTTGTTGAGCTTACATATTACGGTGGCATGAGCATAAAGTATGTGACAACATATTTTCAAATGATGAACTGCTTGATTTTTCCCGCCATACGGCCGTGCTATGGAGGGACGCCGCACAATGGATCGAGTCAACGAAAGAGGTCGGACATTTGGGAACTTTAAACGCTTATAACTCCCTTTATATAAAAAATTGAAGTCTCAAAAGTGGTTTCATTGGATTTCCCATGAAAATTTCTTCTAGCGGCACCCTTTAAAGTTTAAAATGTGATGAAATAAACAGAAAAATTGCTATTTTAGTCAAACATTTTATGTCCGACCTCTCTATTTGACTCGATCCACTGTGCGCCGTATGAGCCCTTAGCTGTTACTGTTTTTCCTTCAATATCAGTTGAATTTACTAGGATGACAGCGAACCTCCTTTTTTTAAATTTCAGACAATTAAGTTCGCCATTTAATGTAAAATATCTGAAAATATCGAAGAAAAATATGCATAGCTTTCCCCAAAAGTACATGTTATATTGGAGGAAATTACAACTCACAAATTTTCATACGGCGTATACGGCGGTTCCTTAGCATGGCAGCATATGATAGGCCCACACTTTTTTACAGCCTATGATAATGCATATGAAAAGACCAGTTTAATGAAATTCGTTTCCCACGAAAATGGGAGTTGACGGGAAGATATGCTGCCTTGGAAAATATATTCGCAGTCTTCGGAAGAGAGGTTCGTTGGTTGGTAAGTGGGCCAAGATTTGTATGAATATGAGATGATTGAAGACATCTTTGGCAAAACAATCCCTAATTTTTTCAGAAAGGTAAAACATAGGTAGTGACAGTGGTAGGTGTTGGTAAGGCTTACTATTCCAGAAATTGCTTATTTTTTATCTTTAATTATTCACGACAATGCGAGGTTAAGCTATTTGAGATTATCTTTGTACAAAAATTTAAAATATGAGAAAACAGAATAAACTGAAGCATATGGAGTGAAGGTTTAAAAACTGTTGCTGGGCAGTGGCTGCACAATGACTGAGTTGTGATTACAGTAATTACATTTTCGTCCACCGTCGTTCATCTTGTTTCGCCTGTGCATTTAGTATACTCATATAAACGTAAAACGATAGCGTTTACGATTAAATTTGTGAACGTAAAACAAGTATACTACCTAATATTCTAGTTTGAAAAATTCAAGGAATAATTCAAAATGGAAGGAATCATTCAAGACAAGACATTCCACTGACCGCCATGAACGCACAATTTGCAAAAAAAAAAAAAAAAAGCTAAACAAAAGAAAAAGTATTCCCTTGAAGTTGTTTGAACCTCTTTGGGGTTCCATGTAAAAATAAGTCATGGAACTTATTTTTGCAATCGCCTGAGACACTAGGATGTGCGTTTGCTTGCGTGAAAATGTTAAGAGTGGTTGCGCCTAATGGATCAGTTATTTTTTCACCTTTGAAAAAAATGTCCTCATTACGACGTGTGTAATACCGCAAAGTCTGAAAGAAAGACACCATGCTGGTTGGAACGATTTTTTCGTGTTCAAGAGAATAATGAGTTATACTCGTAGTACCACTATCGGTGAAATCCATTACTGTCCCCGATTCATTTTTTCAAGCAACCTACGCACGCCACTGATTTTAGGAGAATCTTTTTTCACAGTCTTTTTCAGTCCTTAGTTTTGTATTTTGCTCCTTTTTTTTGCGACAGAGGCTTGAGTGAATAGTTGAGAAGTTCTCAGAATTTTCCTCAGCTTTTCATAGTTGTCTGCAAAAATTTCCACTTGCTATTTATGGCCGTCGCACTTTGTAGATGTATCTAAAAAATAAAACGTTTCTTGGTTTGCGATGATTCAGATTTCTCGTTAAATTTATTACTTTATAGATCGACCGAACATCGTTTTTGCACCAGATTTTCAGATTTTGTATTCAGTTTCATTGCTTTGAATGGCAGGAATGCCATAAGGCCTAAACTTCAATTCACGGCTCTAGTTTTCCTTTAACAAAAAATTGACGCCGAAATCGCATGAAAGACGAAGTGACGTATCAACGGTGACGCCAGAGGCTTTTGCAAAATACAAGCCCTGACTTTTGATCTGCGAATGAGGTGGCAAGCCTTCGGTGCGTTGAGTCCTATTCGTGTCTAAAAAGCCGTGCGTCTAGAGAAAACGAGAAAATGAAGGTACATCAGCTTCCCTGACGCTTTTAGAAATGAGTCAGACATTGAAGCTCCTATAATGGACCACTAGACAAGGTACGAATTTCAGCATTCTGATACACGCTCCTTAACCAAAATTTCACGTAGAACACGATGCGCACAACGAAAATTACTGAAATCAACTCCTTACGAAGATATTTAATAATTTTGATGCGTGAATTCAAACCACCCGCTCATGAAAAACTCAATGCTCTACGTGATTCACATCGCGCGCTAAACGTTTATCATAACAGTCTCTGCGATATAAAAATCTGGCAACCTCAATCTTGACGCTTTGGCTCAGCTATAGCAAATTGCTTAAAGTTTGAACAACACATGGTGGAAATGAACTTGCTCGATTGAGAAGATTGCTGAAACTGTTGTAGTGCGCGATTTGACTCACGTAGAGCTTTGAGTTTCTTGTGAGCGGGCAGTTCAAATTCCTCGCAACCAATGTGAAATAAAAATGTTAATAACTTCCTTAGGAGTTGGTTTCAGTCATTTTCGTTGCGCGAATCGTGTTTTGCGTGAAATTTTGGTTAAGAAACATGTATCAGAATCCTTTAATTCGTACCTTGTCTAGTGGTCCATTGCAAAATTAATTCCAACTGTTAAGAGACAGAGGTAGGTTTGATGGAGGCGGTTATTTATGTAAAACATTCCCGAGTCAAAATGTTGACGTAAGCGGACTGGAGCGACATTTTCCGTCAATATGACATGACGCGCGCGACAATGTGTTTCAAATTTTTCATGAATTATAGCAAATTAAAGGGAAGAAATCATGCGCATGTAAAAGGACCGGGATTATAACAGCAACGCATTAAGTTGCATCAAGTTTGAGTCAAAAACAGAAGGTTTGAAGTCTTTTTCCACCAATGTAATGTGTTTCAATCTATGTTAGAGACAAATTTCAATGGCCATTTTCATGTTCAAAAAATTTTTTTCGACTTTGAATATTTGACAGGAGAACATTTACAAGTTGTTGAATTAATAACTACTCCTAACTTATTTTTTTCTAGTATTTATATTTATTAATAATTAGAAACTTAATTATAATTCAATTATATAGCCCTGATACAAGATGAACCATATAGATACATAGAGAGCAAAACTTTGCAAAATTTCTAATGTCTCATGCATGAGTCGAAATGTGCACCAGACGATAAGAACTAATGCCAAATTACTCCCGCAAAAATTCTGATACGGAACACTAACTCTTGTTTCCAAACAATTTCCATCTGAATTTTCATGTACATTCTGTGAACTGTTTTAAATTTTGAGATTATAGTCCAAAAATTTTTGTCCCACTCCAGCTAGGGTGGCCCAATTACTCGCGGCAAAATTTATTTTGCGAATTTTTTTGGTCTTGCCCCCTGAAACTGGTCCATTTGATCAAAAAACACTCTCTGCCAAGTTTCAGCCAAATCGGATAATACTAACCGGTGCCGACAGAGCCATTTTTTTTGTGAGATTTTACATTAAACAATACTTTTTTTCAGAAAAATTCATTTCCCGGAAAATTTTAAATTTCTAGAAAAAATCTGGGGTCATATTCGGCTTTAGCAGGAAAAATTGAGCAGGGAACGTTTTATTGGACACCTCCAAAAAAATTTTTTACCCATCGGTATGGCGGTGACACAACTGAAACATCTACATATAGAAAACGCTATAAAAGGGTAAAATGACGGTGATAAATCTCAAATAATTACATAGGTCTGCATCCGAAAACAAAAGCTCAACATATGGTAGATATTTGACATGTACTTTTTTACGCTTAGTGCGAACATGCTGTCCATTTTGCTCTATTCCGTCAGGAATTTCCGGAAAATCGATTTTCCTGTATAAAAAGAAGGTTTTCCGATGTAAACTCAATTTTCAGGAAATAAACCTCAACATGTGACGGATGTCTTTGACGTGTTTTTTAACTTGAATTCGAACATGATAATCGTTTCATTCTATTCCACTAAGCGTTTCTGAGGAACTATATTTTTCCCGTAAAAAGCGGATTTTCCAGGGGAGAAACTCGGTGCTTTGGAAAACCTGTGAATTTCGACGAAAAAAACAGGTAATTTCTTAACTCAGCGGCCGAACGCTTGAAGGAGTATGGGTGCTAGTCATTTTCTGCACTTTCCTGGTACATTAATTTTACGTAAAAAATGTCCTGGTGGCGAATTTTCTGGACTCAGCCGTTTTGCTACCTACCGTAGAAGTCCCCGTCTGGCGAGATGTACGCGCATGGCGCCCGTTACAAGTCGACCGTTAATTTCCTAAAAATTGAGTTTTCCCCGGAAAACCCTGTTTTTACGAGAAACTCGATTTTCCGACAAATCCCGATATAATGTAGCATTTCTGCTATCATTTTTGGACTCAGCTTTAAAAAAACCCCCAAAAAAACATCCGTCACATGTTGAGGTTTATTTCCTGAAAATTGAGTTTACCTCGGAAAACCTTCTTTTTGTACAGGCAGGGCCGGATTAAAGGGGTGGCCACATGGGCCGTGGCCCATGGCGGCAAATCTAGAGGGCGGCGAATTTTGCAATTTTTTTAAATGTAGGTATAAAAAAATATCGGATTTAGAAAGAAAAAATTACAAACGAGAAAAGGCGACAAAATTTCTCATTTCCTGAGAGTGTAGTAATTTTTAATTTTGTCGTCTCTCAGTGATACAAGAGACAGCACCTTTAATTAGTCGAGTTAAGAGAGAAACGAAACACGCAATTTGGCCTGGAAAAGCGCGGCGCAGAGAACAATGATGACGAGGACTTGAGATGAAAAGGAGGAGCCATCGGCGCGACGATCGGCATGTAACACATATCAGCGCCTACCAGACTGCACGAATACTTCACGCATTACATCAAACACAGTGCGGTCATTGCGGTCAGCGTGAAACGAATGCGCCTACAAGAATGCATGAATACTTCACGCATTGCGCCAAACACAGTGCAGTCAGCGTGAAACGCATGGCGCCTACAAGACTGCGTGAATACTTCACGCATTGCGCCAAACACGGTGTGGTCTGCGCGGCGCGGCGGCGGAAGTTAAAATCATTAAACCACATTCATGTTTGTTCTTTCATAATTTTTTCGTTCATTTCTTATGAATGGAAAGCCTTGTCCGCACAGAGATAGATTTACAAAACTTAACTTTTGTTAGTAGTGTTGACAGGGCATCCCCAAAAAATGTGTTCAACACGAGTAAACGCGTCTTATGCACCCCTCCCCCGCTGGCACGTTCACTTGATGGTTTTTATTGATGTTTCAACACGAATGAGAAGGGGGCGGCAAAATACAGGCGCACCATGGGCGGCAAGTAGGTAAATCCGGCTCCGTATTCTGGAAAATCGATTTTCCGGAAATTCCTGACGGAATAGAGCAAAATGGACAGCATGTTCGCACTCAGCGTAAAAAAGAACATGTCAAATATCTACCATATGTTCAGATTTTGTTTTCGGATGCAGACCTACGTAATTATTTGAGATTTATCACCGTCATTTTACCCTTTTATAGAGTTTTCTATAGATGTTTCAGTTGTTTCACCGCCATACCGATGGGTAAAAAATTTTTTTGGAGGTGTCCAATAAAACATTTCCTGCTCAATTTTTCCTGCTAAAGCCGAATATGACCCCAGATTTTTTCTAGAAATTTAAAATTTTCCGGGAAATGAATTTTTCTGAAAAAAAGTATTGTTTAATGTACATACAGTACATCGGAAAACCTTCTTTTTATACAGGAAAATCGATTTTCCGGAAATTCCTGACGGAATAGAGCGAAATGGACAGCATTTTCGCACTCAGCGTAAAAAAGTACATGTCAAACATCTACCGTATGTTGAGCTTTTGTTTTCGGATGCAGACCTACGTAATTATATGAGATTTATCACCGTCATTTTATACCCTTTTATAGCGTTTTCTATATGTAGATGTTTCAGTTGTGTCACCGCCATACCGATGGGTAAAAAATTTTTTTTGGAGGTGTCCAATACAACATTTCCTGCGCTAAAGCCGAATATGACCCCAGATTTTTTCTAGAAATTTTACTTAGTTCCGCGCAGCAGAAATACGTCAAGTTGCGCTTATACCGTAGGTGTTTTAGTTCCTATTTTTGAAGATCAACAAGTTCTCACTATAGGAAGCAGGAGAGAAAAGACTTAGTCCGCTTAAAAGACACAGGTGTAGACAAACTGCGGCGAATCCAAGATTTAGATACAGTAAGTGCACGGCGAGGCTGCGTATTGGACCGGGCCGTGCCTTTGGTTGACAAAGAACGAGAGTTTGACGAGATTGGTGAGATTGCCGAGATCGGGGGAGCAGTCTCCCAATCAGAAGGATAGACTGCTGCGCCTTTGCTGGTTTGGAGGTAAAAGTCACGTTGAGAGAACTCCCACGTTTGCACAGAAGAAAAATTCTTCCTCCACAAGGGACAGTCACTGCTCATCGACTTGCGATCAGAAAAAATATGATGTTGGACGTCCCTGACGCGACCAAGGTAAAAATAGTCCATGTAGTGATACTGGTTGCATGTCTTTGTTTTGTAGGGGACTTTCTTACCCACGAAGACCTCAGCCAGGCGCACTCCTTTATTCCCGCCGAAAGGGTTATCTTTAAAGTGACTCCTGATGTATTCTTCTGGCAAACTGGCAGCATAGACGTGTCTAAAGGTAGCGTATTCCCTCTGAACGTCCATATAAATAACAGAGGTTGCATCCATTGCAAAGAACATAACGCCGTTGCTGCTGGTCAAAATATCTCCAGCTTCGAAGGAAACGTCGCTGATGCCCAGATACGTGCCTTGTAGCCGTTCTTTTTCTCGTTCACTCAATGTTGTTTGTTGTAAAATGTCGTCGCGGAAAACTAAAGAAGCTTCGATCACCGTAGAGATGAGTATCAGGATGACAGCTGGAATCAGGCAGAAATTAAGAGGTTAACTCGAGCAGTTAAACATACTAGGGGGTAAGCCCCATGTAAAGAGTACGTCAGGAATCGCTGAAAAAATACTGAATTCACTGACTAAGATAACAAAAGTAGAAATGAAGGAGGATGTTAATTGAGAGCACAGAGAAATGTGACCTGCTTGAAGGCTGAATGGAAATCGTCAAAAACTCGAAGGGAAAGTGGGAGTGGAGTCAGAGAAGGGATAGTGGAAAGTTTGCAAGGGGTAGTGGACACGCCCACGGTTAGGTTAGAATTTTTTGGCGTTACGGCCACCTGAGCTTAGCTTGTTGCATAGAGTAGATACTCACACAAGGGCTTGTAATGCGAACTGTCATGGCTAGCCAGGGGGTTCTCACTCCCTGAATCCCTCCGGGATCAATTGGACTGCATTTTGCAATTTGGAACTATAAATTCTGGCTCATCTGAAAAAACACTTATGTGCATAGGAAAACTGATGGCACATACGTTGTTTTTAAACCGGGCCAGAATTTATAGTTCCAAATTGCAAAATGCAGTCCAATTGGACCGTGTTTAGTGGACAGGAACCAATCCGCATAAGCTATTGCCAAATTTAATTGGGCAGTTTAATTTTTTACAAGAGAACGTTTGTGCAAATTCTTTTGAAAATTGTAATGAATTTGCTTCGTACTCAGCAGAAAGTTCACTGAGATTTGCACAAAATACCGTCGAACAGTCTTCATGTAAAAAATTATATTGCTCAATTGAATTTGGCAATAGTTGATGTGGCTCGGTTCCTTTCTGCTAGACGCGGTCAAATTGCTCCTCGCGTCCGGAGCAATTTTCCCGAAAATTTAAAATTTTTGGCTACTCATCGCCACCCCTGCAATTCATAGCCATGATAGTTTATGGACCAATAATGAAATCACCGAACCGAACTACGAATCTCGATTGCGGTGCTTGAAAATTTCCGTTCATACTTTATTTTCGCGAAAAAATACTTCTCAATATTGTGAAGCAAAATTTTCGGGGAACATCCCCCAGAAAAAGAAGGGAAATTGAGCAAAATATTAAGCAAAAACATTAATCATGATGCTTTCTTTACTTGAGTGCAATGTAATAGGAGACTTACAATGTGGCAAACCGAGACACGTTGTTTCGTAGTTTCATCATTAATTTTCTTCCTGGTAAATCTAGTAATAGACATATGCTACATCTACTAAACGTGTATAAAATACCAGGAATTTGATATTGGCCAACCTATTCTTATTCCTATGTATTTCATTACATTTCTCTTATAGCTTGAAATTAAAATGCTCCAAAAAAGGAATAAAATGTATCTATCAAAAAAATGTTATGATAAGAATAAAAATGAGTATACTTGTATTTATTTTAGTCAAACTCTTTCTTTCTCACTTACATCCGAAGTATATTTTCCATATATAAGAAAACCAGAGAAAACTGGCTCCTAAACAGAGAGATTGTCACTTAACAAGAGAAAATAATAGTAATAAAAAAAAGCGTAATATGCGATAGGTATCCTTTTCATTGAGTTCCAATGATTATTTCATCCGTATATTCAGAATCCGCATTCGGTTAAAAAATTAAATTGTAAAAACATCAAATCTTGACGATTTTTTTTTGTTGATAAAACGCAATTTAAATACGAAGAAACTTACAAGTTAAGATCGGAAAATTGTTTTTTCCATGAGGGGTAATCATATTGCACCGTAGAAAACTGCCGACTGTTTTTAGGGTCTCCACAAGATAACAACAGTTACATTCATTCCTTGAACAGTGGTGAACTGTTACCTTCATCTGCTAGTTCAGGCACTGCATGCTGCTGCTATGAAGATGGCACAAAAGCAAAGCAGCAATAAGATAATAATTAGATAATTTTACTTATGAACTTTTTATTACTATACAAATTTAATTTTAAACTATTTCCAGTTATGTAACTGTTATTTTCAATTATTCCTACAATTTGGGCATTTTTCTGAAGTGCTACCTTTGCTTACTCCAATAATGGTACTTGAAAAGGCCACTGTTAGGAAGGCTTAATATTATCGCAGCGAAGTGTGGATCTACCTGAAAAATGTATTTCTACATTCAATAACTGAAGAGCATGGCGATGACGTTTAACGTTGCAATTCAATTAAGCCCTCCCCCCTCCCCTCCCCCTCCCCCTCTCCTTTCGAGTTTGGCTACTTAATTTTTCGAATCTCCGGGTTATTCTTTAGCTCAGAGTGAACATTACTTTCCGTACCAAGCTATAGTATGATTGTCTTAGGTTTAATTTTTTAAATGAAAATTCAGGTGAATTTGAGCATATTAGATTTAAAAAAATCGTCATTACGGTAAAAATTTATGATAACTCATTATTTTAATTTGGGTTGTTCAAGAGAGAGAAAAAATCGGATCCACAGGGAATGGATTAAGTCAGATTTTAGTGTCAAATTAGATAAAATAAGTACAAAAGCACGGCAGTTAAGTGTTCAGCTTTTCAATACCTGGTATTAATAACTTTCCGAAGCTTAATTTTACCTTCTTTTGCGGGCACTTGAGCATTCCAATTTGATCTAATACTTTTGAGGTATACATGGTTTTTTTCTATGGATTGGGTTTGCCTTTAAAAAATTCAAAGCGGAACTCAAAAACTTTTGCCAATTGGAATGAGTTTCATTGACATCTAAATATTACCGAAATTCGATTAGATAGGCTCTTTAAGTACGGCCAATCACAAAAGAAGTACAAACACGCAATAGGAACATACCTCTTGTCTTGAATAAATGTCACCCCTAAAAATGGAATATGCTTTTATGATTCGAACTTTCTTTGAATTCTAACACATTGACGTGAAGCTAAGTAAAGTACCTTATAGACTTCTGCACTCTCTGTGACTACGCAACTCCCCTTTTTCTCGCTCATGGAGTTTGACTGAAAACTCTGGCATCTAATACATGCACGCACAATCTTACCGTACTTACACAATATGAATGTCAATGTGGGAATGCGTCAATACGATTGCAGCATGAAGCATGATGCGAGACACGAGTCTTTTGAAAAAAATAATGCAGAAAAACACTTCAAATGAAAAGAAAAAAACCCTCACTCTATATTGTAAAATAGGAGAGCCTTCTTTCATGAATTCGATTCTCAGAATCCTGTCTATTGTCTTCTGAGAACAGGGGCCATCCATAAATTACGTCACCCATTTTCCTCGACTTTTTTATTCCTCCCTCCCCCCTCCTTCTCTTTGTCACCTACATGGCACTCACTCGCCTCCAGACCGATCCTAAAAATTACATCATTTCAGGTTACCCGTCTTTTTGCATAGTTGTGTGGTTATGGCAAAACCTGATACAGATGGGCATAACTTTCAAATAGGGGACATTTCAGGGTGGAAAAATTATAGAAAAATCTGTTATGGTGCAGGGACGCGTGACCGTGACGGTCGTGAGTTTTGCTCTGAACTTATGAAACTTAATGAAATGTATAAATTTCTTGGAATTCTGCAATATTGCATCTATTGTAAAACTATGTTATTTTTTGTAATTTGTGACCCTGGAGATAGCGTTCATGTCGAAATGTGCTGGTATGTATATTCATAAAAGTTTGTAATAAACTATGTCATGCATCTAGACTATTCTTGTTAAGTGAAATTAATGACATTTTTGAAAGGCTTTTATCAGAGGCTAGGTATGCAACCCGCAATTGAATGTACAAAACCTTGATCTTTGGCACCGAGTTCTTAATTATAATTTATACATTTATTATATCGCATGAATTTTTGATATGTCATGAAATTTTGCCACCCTGCCCGCAACGCAATATGCAGATGCGTCAAATCAATTCTATTCTAATCACCCTTACCCCTCCCCCATCTATATGACTAGATTTGATTTGAATACGATTTGACGCACCTGCATTGGATTCGGTCTCAGATCGATTTCAAATTGGGAGAGTTCTTTCACTAAAACCACGGTTAGGAACTCTTATTTTTCAAATCAGGAAAACCAATGAAAATTCCATAATTTATGTATTTGCAAGAACTCGTGATAAGAGATGGCTGTAGATATTCAGCATTAATTTATTTATTACTCTAATTTACACAGTTACTCAAACTCAACGGAGGAAATCACATACCTACGTTAGTATAATTCCGGACTTCCTTTCTCCTTACGTAGATACAATTTTCGACGGAGAAAAAAGATAATTATTTGTTAAACGAGGAGCTTGGAGGACAAAACGCACAAAAGCAGATTTTAAAACATTTAAATATCGATGATTTTAACTAAAATTCATCTTAACATATATTCTCGGAAAAATTCACTACTGAAATTTAATTTTTAGCATAAAAAAATGAGTTTTAAATTTCTTTCCACCGTAAGATTCAATGTTATTTTGAAACTTTCAACGCATATTTCTTGAAATGGCAAAACTGCGCTTCTGCGCCTTGTCCTCCAAGTCTCTTAAATGTGGTAGGACATCATTCAACAAAAGTCTACGACGCCTTCAATACCTTTCAAAAGTCATTACCTTCTCTGACGAACCTCTTTACGGCACAATGAGTTTCCCTGTACCCCATTGCAACTTAATCAAGTCACTTACGAATATCCTCTGCTTCAAGAACTCTTTCTTCTTAGTTCATGAAAGTTTGACACTGAAAAAAATAGTTCCGTTTACAGGGATCCTGCACTCTCTTTGTTACAGCTTCAGAGGTTTCCGTTACGAGGACAAACTCCGTGCTCATGACCGAAGTTCTTTTATCACAACAGAAAAGCTCTGTAAGTATAAAAAAGAAAGTGAAAGTTCCCTGTGAACAGACGGCACTGTCATCAGCACCGACTAGTTTTTTTTTTGCGTGTAGAAGGTGTTTAGAAGAGCCTCAGATTGTTCAAACTAGAGTACCTTTCTAGGGAGAATATGGACAAATCGAAAATTTGGAGTATAGGTTTGATCAGTTCATGTATCTTAGGGCCCAAAAAGACAGCCAACCAATGAACTCGAATTATCTAATAATACTAATTCGAACTCCGAGAGTAGGTACACTGATCAAAAATTATAAAAGAACGTATAAAACTTTGATTACGCGTAAGTCTTAATCTTTAAAAACTCTTGTTTACAATCCTATGGATCAATCTTCCAAATTTTTAGGTTGGCAGCGGTACTTTTCTAGTGATTTTCGTTTTTCACGTTGTCGCCCTTTTGGGCCCTAAGAGCTACACTGCCGCGCTAAGGAAAAACGCCTTATGAACCTTCAGGCGTTGCCAAATTCCCTTTGATAAACCGGGAATTTCCTGGTAAATTTATGAATATTTTCCTCCCAATTTTTCAGATTATTTTGTTTGAAATTTCACCTCAAGATTCTGAAAATTTAAGGGAAAAATATCCATAACTTTCCTTAAAAATAAACATTTTATCGAAGGGAATATGACAACGCGCGAATGTTCATACGGCGTTTTTCCTTAGCAGTATATAAATCGAGTCGTCCATACTCTCCCCACGAAGGAGGCGGATCCAGCAATTTGGCAACACCGGATTCCCTCCATTCAAATCTAAGCTAATCGATCGATTCTTGTAGGAGCACCTGGCCCCTCCTAGAATCGATACATTTCCATAGGTTTAAATGGAGAGAAGGCAATGTTGCCAATTTGCTGGATCCGCCAATGACGAAGGTACTCTAACTCCAACCAACTACTCCAGGGTTTCAGACATCTCTAGTGCAAGCGTGGACGTCGACGGAATGATACGAGGCGAAACCCGAGATTGAAGACTTCTTTTGATGAGCTCGATTTTATTCTTGAGCTGTTCAAGGTCACGCTCGGACTCGGAGGACAAACTGAATTTCCGCGATCGGCTCTTCCCGGCGTCACCAGCGGCGTCCCGACGCATGAGCTCAGCGCTCCCAGCGGAAAGGTGCCCGAGCGGTCTTTTCTCGAAGGCGATGCTGTTTTCCTGCAACGGACCCTCTCTTGGAGACCTATCCATGCTCCCGTTCTCCTCAAGGATCACACTCAAAGTCGACTTGCTGGCGATCAAACTAAACGAGTAATCAGAGTACTCCGTTACCTCCTCGCAAGACAAGACGCACCTGTGATTGCCCGAGGAGTTTATTCGATATTTCGATAGATCGATTTGATGTCTCGATGGATCGATCTCATCGCTGATCGCCTCCTCCGAATAGTCGTTAGGGGTCTCTGTTTCCGCATCAGAATAGCTCTCCTCTCGGGACTTAGTTCTCTGCTTAAGGAGGCAGTTTTTCGCCCACTTTATGTATTCAGACGTCGAATCGACTATCGATTCGTCCTCAATCTCAGAGTCAGGTATTGTCTCATTCCTGTTAGGGAGGTAGCTGGACGCCATCCCTGAGCTCACAGAGCTACAAGATTCGCTTGGCTTTAGCCTCGGAGTGTCCTTACTTACATTCGAGGGTTTCGAATCTTCTGTGATATCCGTTAAAGTTTCTGATCTCCTGAAAGAAAGGAAGGATTCCTTGTGATCTTTAACATATGATTTTCCACAATCCTCGATGATTTTCTCCGGATTCTTTCCTCTGTCCTCACAAAGTGCTCCAAGCTTAGCGTTCATGTTGTCCTCCAAATTTGAAATTTTCTTAGTTTCCGCTGGATCAGCTTCTCTTGTAAGGGGCTCTAATTTACCCTGAACGCTAAATTTTTTCCGATCATTTCTGGTATAAACATCCATCTCCGGTTTCGTAATTTTTCTCGGGGTTTCTTTAGCGTTGCAGATGGTTTCAAAGCAAGAACTCGATGCTTCCATTTCCCTCATGCGATTTTTGATATTTTCGTCGCGTCTCGCTACTTGCCGATGCAATTGATTGCGAAGGATATTGTTCCCGAATTGCAAAATATTTTTATTTTCTCTATGGCTGAACATTTTTCTCACGTTACCTATGCCCTGTGTTGATTTACCAAGATCGGAACTTGAAAATTCAGGCCTTTTCATCAAGAAATTTCTATTTTTTCGGGGTCGTTTGTGAATTTTACTCCCTCGCCCCGAAACTAAATTTTTATGCGCTCTCTCGCAGAAAACCGCTTCCCTCTCTTCTGATTCCACCGATATTTTCCGCTGAATTTTTCGAGATCTAACGGTCGTGTTATTAAAATTTTGCGCAAGCTTTCTTCTCGATTCTGCATCATCAGTTCCTGCGCGCTTCCCTTTCCGAAGGCGAGTTCTGAAAGATTTCGCGTTTGTTGAATCTGACACCATGGAACATTTTGAGAAACGTCTACTGCTGGTCAGGGTTGATCTCGAGGACACCGACCGACGATTCCTTCCTTTTCTATTAATTTTAGATTTCCCGTTCTTACTCAAAATGAACTTCTGCGATGACTTTGAACTAGTGTAAGACTGATTTCGGTCGACAGCAGACCCTGTTCTTGATCTCCGCTTCCTTTTTTGAAACATCCTCGAGGTGGGTTTTTGACTCAAAGATTGATGAACTGTTTTTCTCGTGCCGTTATACTTTTTATAACGGTCAAAATCAGGGCTACGCTCCTCTTGACTCTCTTCACTGGTATAAGTATCTGTGGCCGGTCTCTCGTGAATTTCTTTCCGGATTGTCTCCGTGCTGGATTCCTCATCCGACATTACGGTGCGTTGGAACCGCATGAAACGCTCACTTATTTTCTCAACCGAAGTTCGCAGAGTCCGTTCTCGATCGGCGGAAATCTTCCCGACACAACTTTCTCCGTCTTTCTCCGAGACGGTCTCAGCATCACTCCTGTGTCTTGCAGGTTGCGGGGATTCACGGCGCCTCTCTCGAACCGCTTTATCTTGTTCGACGAAGTATTTCTCTCGCAGCATCACCTCCGGCAATCTATTCGCCTTATGCTTCGAGTGACGTGAACCACCCTTTGAACTCCCCGATCTTACAACGTGACAGCTTTCATAAGTTGTCTCGAAAGCTCCCTTTGAACTTTGGAGCGGGTCTCTCTTTGGCGCCGTCTTGACATCTTTTCTATGAGGAGGCTCAAGGCTGGACCCGGAAAAGTTAACCACGCGAAGTTCTGTCTCCGGCACGTAAGTGCTAGTACTTGAAGTAGATGGTTTTCGTTTGGATCCTTTTTTTGCGAAAGTATAGCCTTTCGAGGCGAGAAGGGAATACTCGCTTTCATCGTGCTCGGAATCCTTCAAGTAATGGACACGTACATCTTTCTCCTCAGCTCCGTAATCTGACTCGCATTGTGAGGTGGTATCCGAGGAGCTCAGATCGTCGTTCAGATTTTCCAATAAAGCCTCTGAGCTACCACTCGCAATCACAGAATTCTTTGCAGATTTCAGTACAACTATTTCTGTTGGTTGACTGCTCAAATGGCTGGACTGATTGCGATGGCTAGAACGAAGCGTTTTTTGACTCCGCGCAAGGCTCGATTGTGTTCCTTGCTGAAAAGGCTCCTGGAAACCAGAGTAAATACCTGAAAATTTAGGGCCGAACGTCTTCTGGTAACCGGACTTTTCGGCTCCCCATTGGTATCCGGTGAATGGAGGTAATGTTAAAAATTCTAGATTAGATTTATTGCTGGAGTTTCCGTTCGGGTTAACTTTACTCTTCGATTTTTTCTGGTATTGTCTCCTATTTGAGTGCGAACTGTCAAAACTGGGCACAGAACTAACCAAAGACTCTTTCTGGGCCTGATTGAAGAATATATCCAGGTTGGATATTAGATTCAAGGGGATATTTTCCAGGATGCGATTTTTTAGGCTGGTGAAAGAGGCCCCGTACTGAGATTCATCAGCGCTGAACTGGTTTTCGGGGAGGATCGGGTTGTATTTGTAGGAAGATGCCATTGCGGACACCTTCGCGGTCGATTCACTATCCGTGAAAAGGAGGTTTGATTTACTTAGTGTGCCACTCACCGAGGAGGTGTTAGATGACCTGCTACTCACGCATGATGACTCGTAGTTGATGAAGGGAGATTGGTCGTTCACATAGGATGATTCACGATTGATGAGGGGTGATCGGTGATTTATGCGAGAGGGCTCGTGGCTGATGCAGGATTTGTAGTTGATGAGGGACGAGCGGTCCCAGGCGGGTCGATCCCGGGGAAAATTCGAGATTTCTCCGCGCGGCTGCTCGATGCTCGGGCTCAAAGCCAAGGTTTTCTTCTGATGCGGCTCATAATTTCTAGGGACGTTGATGAAGTTGGAGAAGAGGAAGGACGACTGGCTCAGGGATCGTCCTTTTTTCTGTAAGCAGAAATCCTCACCGCCACCCAAGCCCCGATGAATCGTTTTCGTCATCTTCTTGCTCTCATTTACTTTCATATCAGGTTATACCGCAATTTGTTGTGAGTGCTTTCGAATCTGAAAATTAAAATTCGACTCTGATTAGTTCACTGACTAGCGCGAGCGTAGCTATAAGGGGCCAGAGGGGCTTACCCCTCTAAAATTTGAAGTAGTGGTCAGGGCCGGATTAAGGGGGTGGCCGGCCACATAGGCCGCGGCCCATGGTGGCAAAATGTAGGGGGCGGCAAATTTTGCAATCTTTTTGAATATAGGTATCAAAAAAAGAGAGAAAAATCGGATTCATAAAATAAATTATAAACGACAAGACGCGACAAAATCTCTCATTTCCTGTGAGTAAAAGTATGGTAATTCCTAATTTGTCGTCTTTCGGTGATACAAGAGACAACACCTTTAATTAGTCGAGTTAAGAGAGGTACCAAACACGCAATTTGACCTGGAACGGAGCGGCGCGGCGGTCGGCTTGAAACGCAGAGCGCCTACAAGACTGCATGAATACTTCACGCGTTGCGCCATCACAGTGCGGTCGGCGCGGCGGCGGCGGAAAGTAAAATTATTAACCACATTTATGTTTGTTCTTTCATAATTTATTCGTTAGTTTTTTTTTTTAAATGGAAGGCCTTGTCCACATAGGGATGGTTTTACGGAACTGAACTTTTGTCAGTGTTGACAGGGCTTTCACAAAAATGTGCCCAACACAAGTAGAAGCGTCTCGTACACCCCTCCCCCTCCCCCACCAACACGTTTCCTTGATGGTTTTTATAGATCGTACTCGACAGATCACACAGGTGAGATTATATTGATATCGATTGATTCAATATGTAACCACAGCCTCAAAAGTCAATTTAGAAATTTGAGGTAACGGGTCTTATGTGATCGAATTTTTATTCTCTGTAGTACCAAATGGCAATGAAAAGTGAAATTGTTAGGAATTTTCTCATTTTCAGTTTTTCCAAATTAAATCCTAAAATTTTCGTTTGAGGTTATGTTCTATTGTTTTGAATCAAACGATACATCAAACCACTGTCGAATACGATCTACTGATGTTTCAAAACGAATGAGAAGGGGACAGAAAAATACAGGCGGCCCATGGGCGGTAAGTAGGTAAATCCGGGCCTGGTAGTTGTAAAAATAGCAGTATCATTTGCTTCTCTCCCCCCCCCCCAAAAGAAAACATTTTCACCTCAAGTATTATAAACTATGCGTTAAAAATGCAGTCAATTTTTCAAAAATTTTCAGGGGAGGTCCCTCNGGGGGGGGGGGGGGGGGGGAGCTTACTCTATATCCCGCGAGCCTCTTTCCCCCGGTTAGAGCTGGGGTCATTTTTCTAGGCGGAAACGGAGAAAGGGATTTCGTGACGTCGCAACAAGTATTTCAAAAGCGTGCCAGGCGCATTAGTAGAGGCTTTGGAGAGCCAAAACGCCTTCATTTTTCCGATATGCTACAAACATAACAACTGATCAAACACGCCTGCTTTCAGGATTTAATTCAAGCAATACGGACATCGCTCGTGCTCACTATCTGAGAAACGAAGCAAGTTTTGCTGAAGTCGGCCAAATAGCGATAGTGTATATTTACAGGTTTATCAATTTTAAGGAAGTTAAAAAATCTCATAGCATTATTTCAAGGAGTTAATACTCACAAACAAACAGATTTCAAGCGTAGAAACAGTCAATCAATGTCAAAATTACTCTGCATGGAAAGAAATGGTAAGCTTCCGAACACTTTAGCATAAAATAATGAATATAGGGCAAGAAGATCTTTTACACACCTACTTGGATTATGCTGCGTGAGTGAAACATTATGCCAAACGTTATTCAATGGAGCGAGGAACCAATTATAGGACCATTGTACTGCATAAAACTATGAATTTGGCGTTGAAAACAATTTCAGAGTTAACATACAAATGCTGATTGGAAAGAGAACAATCACTGAATGGATTTTACAAAATAAATCGATGTCATACGATTTACGAACGAATACAATACTTTTATTTAGGTTATGTGGCATTTGTTAGAGCGCATTGTTTTGAGAACTCTCCAAAAGGTAATCTTACGTCGCCATGGATATTCCATCGAAAATCATCTTAATTGGTGCCAGAGAGACTCAGAGACGCCGCTCCTATAAATTGCTGTTGTATGAAAGTTACTTTCGAGGAAAGAAGTATCAATATTGGACCATATTTTGCAATAAGGGACCACTGTTTCTGGCTCATTTTAGAAACAACATATATGCCATCGGTTTCCCTATGCACAAATGTGCTTTTATGGAAGAGCCAGAAACAGTGGCTCCTTATTGCAAAATTTAATCCAATTAATGCCGAGAATTTTGGAGAGCAGTATTGTGAGAGGGGGCTGAAATATTAACGGTCGGAATCGGTAATTATTGTTTCAGGGGTCTTTCAGAGAGTAACCTGCTGGTAAATCAACTGATTGCCTCTGAGCGGATTTGTTAAGTATGCAGACATATCACTTACATTGTAAAGAAAATTTACTAAGTCTCTGATTTTTTAACGTATTTCATACAATGGAGTTTTTTCATAAATCCTGATTTTTACATCAGGTCCCCTTCAAAATATTAAAAAACCCGTAAAAATTGATACAGGTAATGGATACCTACAATAGTTACGGGCTTTTGAAGCGCCTTCAAAAATTGTCACCACTACACACGCTACTAAGGTGTCAAAATAGTTGCTCAATGGCATTATATACCGTCTAAAGTCGATTAGTTACTTACTGCATTTGGAGACTAAAACTAGCTGGATAGTTTACATGGGAAATTGCATCTTTGTTGTTTCTCATGCATTACAGAGCATGAAAAAATAATATTAAATTTGAAAATATTCACAACTGAAAAGGTGCTACGTCTGGTTGAGGTTCTTTGCTAAGCTGGAAGAAGGAGAAATGAAAACGTTTGGTCTACATGTACCTCAAAGAATGATTCGATCAGTTGCTTTTTTTATTCCTATCTTCTCTTTAACAAGCGGCTCTGTCTTGGAGAGGTTACACTTTTTCAGAAGATCGAATGCCCATTAAAGTTTGACGTTATGTCCACGCATAACGAGAGCAAGAAAAATAAGACCAATTTACATCCTTCAATAAAAATTTATTCAAAATATTTCAAACATAGTTTAAAAAATTCCACAGTATGAATCACAAAAAGAAGAGACTGTGCCTCTCAAAATGTTAAAATCTACGCTTCAGGAGGCCGAAGATTTTCAATTACCTCAATTTGAATTAAAATCGTTAAGTTAAATCAACTGAGCATTACTCAAATTTAATTAATCAATTACCTACCTATATTATGTAATTAAGGATCAAATTCAATCCTCTGAATTCATAATTTAATTATAATCTACAAGTTGCCCTGTACATACTTGGTGGACATCCTTAAGTGTTATAGCTCCTTCTTTACTTTATGAACGTAGGTTTGCCATAAAACTTAAATAGAAAATTACCAATGCAGAGAGTAAGGCCTTCCAGATTAATCTCTCAGGCTGCATACCAATTTGCAAAATACGGTGGGAAGTTTTATTTTCATCATAATGCTGCCTTTAAAGGAGGATTATACTAAAAGTATTCAATCGTCACTTTTTCTTATTCCCCTTTTATGCAACTTGCGTACTTCTTAACGAGACCGCTGGAAGAATTATTCACCCACGTCTTAGGCTTTAAGTAGGAGCCAACCAGAAAAAGGGAAAAAGAGCATCAATTCAATTTACTAAGTTTTCAAATGATCAAATAAAACTAATTATGAATAAATAAATAAATTAATTCATTTATAAATAAATAATATTTGTATATACATTCTTACATCTTATATCTCTAACATTTGAAGTTACAAACGTATGTACATCTATGTATGACTTAGCATTTTTTTTTTGCAGTACTGAGTTTGATATGCATTGTAGCTTTACCTTCAGTAATCAGCAGTTATTTTCCATTCACTATATGTCCGTTACATATAATGCTCTGAGTAATTTTAAAAATTAGTTGCGAATGTAATGGGAACGTGGCAGAGGGCTGGGACAAGGCTATTTTCTCAGGAATATTCAAGCAGTAATAAATTTTGGTCACCAAATTACACATTCCAGTATTGGGAAGGCTTTACAAGAGCATCAAAATAGTGCAAGCAGTTTTTTCAAACGAGAGTTTTTTTTTTTCTTTTCTTTTCTTTTACACCTTCAGTGGACAGGAATCTCTGTTTAATTACCAAAAAATGTCTCTCACGCATATTGTTTCCTACACGAAAAATGTCGAATATTTTTGAAAATATTTGAATTAATGCCTCATTTTCTGGCCAATTCTCCCGACCACAACGAATGGATCTCTCATTTCCTTTGGTTGTTAAAAACACTTAAAATAAGGAGCCATAACCCAACTATGTTAAAAATTAGGTACGGACATCTGTAGAAAATTAGCAATGTCTCACTTCATGGACCCTCTTTGAAACTGACTTTCAAAATAAAAGTGGAAACAGATCTGCCACGAGAAAAAAATTCATTCGCAGGCATGAGGGAGGGACAGAGACCCTGTTTGATGGACTCAAGTTCCAAGGGTGGTAGACATAAATCATTGTATTTTTCCATCGCCCTGTTATTCAAGAGACACCATCGCAAAACACGTAGAATTATTACGAAAGCAGAACGTTTAAGGTCATTTTTCACTGAGTTTGCTCCTGAATTTTAAGGTAGCACATAAAAGTATTAAAGTAAGGAAATAACCCTTTAACTGCCTGTTGTGGATGAAGAAGTAATACAAAATAAGGGGCCGTCAATTTTCCAACACAAAAAGTGAGTTTTCCTCCTGAAGTGAAATCCAGAGTTTATTTCAGCTCGAGGACTAACTCAGCTGCTTAACAACCCACATGGTGTAAATACAAAATGTATTCCCTCTCTGTGAAATGAAATGGACTATTGAAGGGCGGATTTTATTCCGCATCCATATCATGCGAGGTTTTTGGCAGGTATATATGCTCCGGATTTCACTTTGATGCTTCTATATAACTATGCAGTATTTATGATTAAAATTTTTAGGATAAAACGGAAAAGGAAAGCTTCAATCACGCAAATTTTTTCTACCTGCAGCCAGAGAAGTTATGCCTATCTAATCATGCCAACAGGGTCCCTGAGCAATAAAAATTATCTGCACGATGCGCTCGATGCGCCTTCATTTTCGGATGATACAGTAAGCTTCACCGTGCACTTGCTAAGCGACTAGTTGCCCCGCAAGGGCTACTCTGGTCCTATTCTGCCATGCTAAGGAACAACACCGTATGAGCCTTCAGACGTTGCCAAGTTTTCTCCGATAAAAACTAAATTTATTGGGAAAATTGCATATATTATTTCCAAGAGTTTCAGACAATTGTTAACGCAATTTAATCTAAAATATCTGAAAATTTCAAGGAAAAATATGCATGAATGTTGTCAAAAATACGTGTTTTATCAAAGAAAATTTGGCAAGTATCGAATGTTCATACAGCGTTCCTCCCAGAGACAAGAGACCCTCCACTAGTATCTTGGCCATGGTGGAAGCTTTTACTTTCGGGACTTCAGCATTCTACTGTTGATTTACCTACATGGTTGATGTTCAACAACGTGTTGGCAGTTTCGTTTTGCAAATAAGCTGAAAATGGCCGAAGTTTGGGAAACTTGTTTGGTTCATGACGTCACACGCAAAAAAAAGCGCACGGCGTCACTCCTCCCGCGGTTATCATTTTCCGGATGACCTGCTCGGCAATGTTACACGTCGAGGTTACCGAGTCTCTCGTTAAGGTAACTATGCTACGCGCATAAGTACCTCTGCTACAATTGCTACACGCACAGGCTACACCTATGCGCGTAGCACAGTTACCTTAACGCGTGACTCGGTAACCTAGACGTGTAACATTGCCAAGCAGATCATCTGGAAAATGACAACCGCGGGAGGAGTGACGAAGGGCGCTTTTTTTTGCGTGCACCCGAAGCTCATCATCCACCATGTAGGTAGGTCAACAGCCGAAATTAGGGTGATGACTGTTGCTACCTTATAATTGCACATAAGAAACTGTTGAATCCCCGAAAGTGAAAGCTTCCACCTGCCGCCAAGCGATCAGTGGAGGGTCTCTTGTCTCTGGTTCCTCCGTAGCGCGGCAGTATCCGAGGTTTCTGCATACTCTTTTTGGCTCGGAATGGATTTTCACTGGAACATGGTCCTGCCGGTGTAGCAGACTGATTCGGGGCCCATTTTCCTGGCGTGCTCCCTGACTAGTTGGTCGATACCCATGGTAGCGTTGTACTGCGACGACAGGACGCTCTGAAGCCGAGACGCTAAGTAACACATAATGAATGCCGACAGGAAAAGGAGCAGACCTAGCGTTGCCGACACCATCAGGAACGTGCTGCAAGAGTTCTCCATGGAGACCGCCCGATGGTAGAAATCTGTTTACACGTAAAACACGGTGTTATGAACCGAATTTCAACATGTGAATACAAAATAAAATAAAAGCCAACGACTTAAAATGGGATTGAGGAGTTAGGTGCAAAAGGGGCGTTAGGTCCATGACGCCCCTTTTGCAGAGACCGGTTTTTCTGAATCCTCATATCCTAAAATGTAGGTGTACCAATTTTCATGTTATTATGTCAAACATTCACTGAAATACAGTAATTTTATTATTGTTAGGTTGGCTAAAAATGAACGTACCTAACCTCCATATTTTAAAAAAAACCCGCGATTATTCAGAGCTTCTAATTGTACAAACTTAAACTTGATAAAATGATCTATATTTAAACTTACCACATTATTTTCATATCTTTAAACATACATTTCATTTGTACAACAACAAACTTTGAACACGAATAACTCAAAACGCGATTTTGTCAATGAGGCCCCTTTTGCACCTAACTCCTCGATTAAGGCCGCAAAATAAAACATAAATTAAAAACTTGGACGTTTCCCATTATCACGACTGCGTTTTCAAACGAATATAATGATTGTTTTAAAATGCACCGGGAAACGTCCCGGTTTCATTTTATGTTTTATTTTGCGGCTTCAGTCCAGTTTTAAGTTGTTGATTTTTAAAGTTTCGGGCCGATTGAGTTGTTTTTTAAATTATATAAATATAGAGTCATTTCTTTTTTTAATTCAAAGGAAAATACCTACTGAATACATTTACTTGGCCTTGCATTCATTAAAGCCTTGATACAACTATTCGCACTCTATGGACACGCGTGTTGCATATGAAAAATTGAAAGGCGCACCAATTGCGCTACACCATTGCATGCATATGTAGCGTGTAGCAATTTTTTGACAGTTTCTCTCACATTAAATGCTTTAACGTGGTGATTGGATCTTTGCTTCAGCAGAAACTTTTATGTCTAGACAGCATGGAGAGAATAATTTTGATTAAAATGCAACACCAAGGTCTTTGATAAATGAAACGGAAGCTTTCGTTCAGGTACAAGAAGCATGAGATTGAAAATATAAAAGAGAGGTGAATTCTATTTACCTCCTGGCATGAGAACTGTGTACTCAATATTCTCCTGGAATTTTGCATATTGCGTTTCGGTTTTGTTGCCATCATGACCGATCACCGTTTTATTGCCGAATTGCAGGTCATTAACCGATCGCCGCCGCCTCCTGCCGTGGCCGGAAGGCTCGAACAGATCCAAACAGTATTCCTGAAACAAGCAATTGAAGACTTTGGAGGAAGACTCTTCGTTTCCTGGCTCATTAGGAAATAGTATTAGCTTTACGGATAATTTGTACGATTCATCAAAATCTTGTAACGTATTTCTCACTAGTGAAAAGGATAATTTCAATGGGTGGAAAATTTTTAACTCGAACGTTGTTTAAAGTAGTGCTGTAGGTAGACGGCACATGATGAAAAAAGGAACCACTACTCCTCTACCGTTGTTCATTGGTAGGATTTGAGAGTCTGCTTACTTTACTGATCGTGGTTAAATATCGGAGGTACGATCGTGGGTAATTGTATCGTGGTCCACACAAATATTTTATGGTACAATGGACCACTGGACAAGGGACGAATTTAAGCATTCTGATACATGTGTCTCAACCAGAATTTCACGTAGAACACGATTCGCGCAACGAAAATTACTGAAACCAACTCCTAACGAAGATATTAACGTTTTTATTTCACATTTGTTACGAGGAATTTCAACTGCCCGCTTACAAGAAACTCAAAGCTCTACGTGAGTCAAACCGCACACTACAACGGTTTCAACAAGCTTCTCAATCGAGTAATGTTCATTTCCCATCGTGTCGTTCAAACTATAAGCAATTTGCTATAGCTGAGCCAAAGCGTCAAGACTGAGGTTGCCAGATTTTTATATCGCAGAAACTATCATGATAATGTTTAGCGCGCCATGTGAATCACGTAGAGCATTGAGTTTTAATGAGCGGGTGGTTTGAATTCACGCATCAGGAATCATTAAATATCTTCGTAAGGAGTTGCTTTCGGTAATTTTTGTTTTGCGCATCGTGTTTTACGTGAAATTTGGATTAAGAAACATGTATCAGAATGCTAAAATTCGTACCTTGGCTAGTGGTCCATTGCTACAAGGCTAGTGGCGTGGCTACGACACTGTAATACAAGGTGTAACGCGGTAAAAATAAACATCGATAAATTATTGGCTGACAAGCCAATGATGACGTGCATCTTTTCCGCACTAAGTACATTTGTGGTAATTTTTCCGATTATTGTTGCCACACAAAATCATTTTCGCGCAAATAATTTTCTGTAGTATGTGGCAACGTCGAGAAAAACATGAGGCATATTTAAGAAAAATGAGTGAACAAAGATTGAAAAAAATTATTGACGTTGCCAGATGTTTGAGATCTGATTTGTGCGAAAATGATTTTGTGCGGCAGCGATAATCGGAAAAATTACCGCAAATGTACTTTGTGCCGAAAAGATATTCTGCCAAATTATTGATATGCCGTGGAGCAACTGTGCTGTACTGCAGTTGCTCAAAGGAATGTACGTGGTTTTTGATTACCAATCACAATGTTCCTTACAAATATGTGTAAAGACAAAGAGGGGAAAGGAGATGCTTGATTGAGTTCCTCCTTGGAGGAGACGAGGGGACGTCCAGTGAGAGGGTGGCGACAGGGGGTTTCACATGAAATGAAGGAATGCCAATACTCCCTGAAGGTTGTGGGAGGACCGGGTCCTGCATGGCGGTTAGGCGTCGCAGAGCGCCGGTTTCAGGAAATTCCGTCAACGAGTTTTTGTCCGCGCACCTGTTTTGTCCAGTCGTTAACGTATATATATAAAGTCGCTTTATAACGCACTCTGGCGTTCTACGACACCCAAACGCCACATATGCCTGTCTTCCCAGAGGTTATCGGGCAACTGAACCGCAACATCTCTTCGTCAACGCCCTGCCGCCAACCCTTTACGGGACGTCCCCGTCGCCTCTTCCCAGGTGGTACCCAATCCAAAACTTGTCGTTAACGTTCGCGCGTAAAAAAAGCAACAGTGACTTGGTCCAAGCGTTTAATTTCAGTCCGCACGCACAATTATATTGATAATGTCGAAATGAGAAAATTGAGAGAGCAGGAGGTGTTTGTAATGGTGACTCATTTTTTAAATGAAATTTTACTTTCTTCTTTTGATTCATCTTTTCAAAATGTCATTGGACATATTTGGTTATATTTCTGTCCTTAAAATTTTCGATATAAAATATACCTTTTTTTTGAAAAAAATGAAAATATGACTTCATTTTTAAAAAGTTTACATTTTTAAAACGTGGTAAATATTTGTAAAGCCTTTTCCAAGCGATGACATCGATATTAATCTCGATGAGCCGTAGGTGTGTCGAAAGAAACTGTACAAAAAACAAAAAAGAGGGAAAAAACCAAGAATTGCAAATCGTTGGTTTTGAACCATTTGAACATCGATCTTTCATAGTCAAATAAGTCCAATTTTGAGCGTCCGGTTGCGCGTACACCACGCAGTTTAGCACAGTGAAAGCACAAAATATTAAAAAAAAAAAAAAAATAAAAAGCTTTATAAATCATTAAATTTGACACGGAACCACCTTAATATGTACAGAACCACATTATATTTTCCCTTTAATACATCTTTTTTTTCATCAATTTAAATGAGAATAATCCATGCAGAGTGTGCAAACATGTCAAAATCATGAGTTGAAAACCGTTGACTCCACGAGTTTAAATATTAGAGCCTAAAGGCACAGAGCGGAGCGGCTTACTGTTGGCGCGAAACGCGCGTTGGCGCCTACAAACCTAACAGGTATACTTCACGCATTGCGTAATGCTTGAAGTATTCCCTTAGGTTTGTAGGCGCCAATGCGCGTTCCGCGCTAACATGCCCGCCGCCGCGGCGCCCCAAGCGACTAATTCTCAACAGAGGTGTTGCACAGAATCATACAAAATTGAAGGCGTTCCATAATATCAAGAATAACTGGCATCCTTTAAGATTACGGAGCTTTCCTTGTGAAATAAATCAAGATACTTCGGCACAAAAGGAGAGCGGTAGCCCAAAAACTCAGTCCTAGCGTCTACTTTTGATGACGTTTAGTATAATTTATGAATTTTATTAGAAAAAAGAGTGACTCGATTCAGGCAGAAACATTCTTGAGTATGTCGTCAAGCAGAAGAGTTTATTTTGAATCAAGAATAAACTAGAGGAACAAAAGCGGGGTTCTGCTTTCTCTTTTTACAAAAGCATATTTTCCTTTTTACACAAGCATTATTTTCTTTATTGGTTCATGAGAAAATCTTCTTGGTGGTAAATATGAGCATATTTCTGATCGAATCAAGTCACCGCTCTCATTTTGTCGTCTTTGGATTCAATTTGTGAGGGAACTTCATGCTTTTGAAAGATGCCATCAATCATGATACGATGGGGTGCCTTCAATCTCGTATGATACTGTGCAACACCTCTGTGGCGAAATGGTGGCTCGCAGCACCGCAGCACGCCGGCACCGTCACGAAGTTATCGCAGGAAAAATCTAAAAGCCTTTAGCTGAGGCAAAGCAAAGGGTTTGTCCGCTTTGGGTATAACAAGAAAGGATTTTCTTGAAAAATAATCAAGTCCTGTTGCACCAAAGAGGTGTAGAGAGTCTTAAGAACTTTTCCCTCGTGGAATTGACGCTCCCCATTTCCACCAAAAATCTCAATTATATATTTTTCTCAGTTGAACCAAACAAATAATAAAAAAAATAAATAACAAACAAACCTTCATTTTTCTAAGACTTTAAACATTTTTATCCAAAAGCGTCGTGAGCAATTGTCGTTTGTATTTACATGTGGACCAAGTAACTTTGGGTGTCAATTTGGTAAGTGGGCCAAAACTCCCCTCCCGAAAAAACGCGTGGACATAAACCACTTGAAAAAACAGGTGCGCGGACAAAAATTCTTTGATGAAATGCCCTAAAACCCAGAGCGCCAGAGAGTTCTGTAAAGGAGACTATCACATGATCCCCATGATCACATTATGACTGTGAATTTTGAAAAAATTCATTTGACTAATTTTTATCTTGAGAATACGTAAAAATGAAATGATTTTTTCAGGACACCTTCTATGTGTACCTGAAAGTTTTATTATTAATTTAAACTCACGGGCTGGCAGTCTGTTGAATCCATGCAAGCTTTGATCTGAGAGTGGATCCATAGTGTTGATCTTTCCCTCATCGTGCTGAGCAGGAAAGCTTCGAAATCTAAGAACACTTCGTTATGCCTGTCTCTGTAGCGCGCTGGCTGGTGAGGTATGATTGTTGCAAAATCTCGATTGCGGCATCTGTTGTTCCAACATGACAAGTAAAAGGTCAAAAATCTATACATGCGGTCTTCAACATTTTTTGTTCGATTTTGGGCATAACATATAGAAGATGGCCGAAGTTCAAAATCACTTAGCTCTGATTGCAAGGTTGTAGACTTCCTGCCATACTTTTTTCCTTGAAAAATACCTTGATTTTTCCATTATATCAGCAGGATATGTTCCATGTGAAGGAGTTATAAAAATATCTTGTTTCTCTTTGAAAAAATAAAGTAGGATCGGGAGCTCTGAAACATCACACGGAGTGATACGTGGTTTTGCATTTTGACCATCGATATGCTTGCACTGAGTCCCTAATGCTTTTTTCAAAAGAGTCATTTTTAAGAAAATTATGGCTTTATGCAACAGTGCAACGCATTCATCAGTATTTCAGGATTGTTGAACATTACTGAAAGAAACTTGGGCAATATCTCCCATCTCGTTACATGTACAATTATTACGATGCAATATTGTTGATTATTTCATGTGAGCAATATTTGTACGCAGTTTGCGAAGGAATGGATTAATACTAAATCTCAACAACATCTCAACGCATGCATGGAGCGTTTTCCTCTCGCACACTTACGCCCATTGATAAAATCGATTGCACTAAACAGAACTTAATTAAGGGGGAAATTACCCGTCTTTCACAAGCGCCACACTCCCGGTCACGTGAGGATTGTCTGGATCTGGTGAAACAGTCACCTCCATAAGCTTCACAAACTTCCACGCTGTAAAAGAGGAAATATTGGATCAATTCTGAATCTTGATAAAAAAAACATGCTTTTTCATATCGAAGTGAACATGGCAAAAACTATGAGAACCAACATGATTCTCGCATTTTTCTTCTTCGCATAGACCATCATACATTGCAAGAACGTCGATATATTGCTCTGTAACTTGTCTAGAGGCTCACTGGTTTAATAAAAAAGTAGTCATCTGGTTGACAAAGTTAGGTATTTAAGAGCTGTAATTGTAATTTAAATCTAATATGGGCGATAGTTATATCTTCAGATAATTTTCCACCCACTTCAACATACATATGAAACTATATTACTGTAACAAATTTTCTTATATCTAGTATCAATTTCTGTAAGCTTATATCCTTCAATTTGTTGAAGAAAGATAGAAGGAGAATGTCCTGGATATTAAAAAAAAAAAAAAAAAAAAAAAAAAAAAAAAAAAAAAGAGCTGTAATTGTAAGAGAGGTATGGATGTGAAAGAAAATTTTAGGTACATAATATTAATGCCAATGAGCCACGTAATTTGGCTTACTTATTTCTACAGCTATGCGGTAGAATTTAGGTCTCTGAAGAATCATTATTCATTCTGTAGTTTTCTACATATGAATATTGTTTGTTCATTGGAGTATAATTAGGAAGTCCCACGTGGACCCTTAGTTCCCTTTGAGTTTGAGAAATCTTCGGAATTTAATCAAATTCAGCAGGGGAATCGTGGACATATTGATTCACACTATTTTCAATGAAAAATAAAAGAAGACACGCATCTAGGTTACGACTTTTCACGCTTATTCTCGAAAAATTTAGTAATCTTTTTAAATTTTTACAGAATTTTATATTTGTGTAGGGCTTATAAATTCCGAATGATGGTTTTCGCAACTTCTATTCATGAATATAAATTGTGATAAAAAGTATACAACGTTGGATATCGAGGTAGGTATGTTTTCTACTTCCACTATCGATTGACTACTTTGATTATTTCTGCATGGTAATTGTCGAGCAAAATCTTGGCGCTCAGAAACATTAATTTCTCATCTCTGAAAGCGGACGAATCAGACGAGAATGTTTCAACCGTTACCCCATCTGAATTAGACATGGCATCCATTATTGACAGTTATAGGGGATCAAATTCTTACCCGTGACCGAGAAACTAAAACCTCATCGTATAGGCACGAGTCTGAGGCACCTTAGCTCAAACAGAGAGGGATTATCTTGTCATTCAGATTCAGTCATTTACATTCTTTAGATGGATGTGGTTTGGAATCAAGCAACTAGCCTGTCAAGAAAGTGACCCTTTTGGCGGGGACTCTGGGATTTGTTTCTAAAGTAGCCTAAACAAATCCTTATAATTATAGTCAATCCTGCAGTGAAAGTTTCGGCCCAAATTCAAAGCTCTTTTTAGCAATATATCGCCGCTAAGTTTTTATACTTTTCATCATTTTTCTTTGAAGTTTCTCGGTTGAACATTTTTTTAGTTGATCCTTTTTTCTTTTCCGAGGCGCAGTATTATCAACTTATGTTTCTATTCCTTAAGAAATAAAAAAGTATCAACTAAACTTGTTTTTTCAACACAGGGAAAAATCGTTACGGGTCATCGGGTCATCCCCTAAAAATGTGATACCACTCCAATTTGTTAGATGATAAGGGACATTCCCAATTAATTGTGATGATACCGCAACATCTACGTTAGTAACCTAATTTATTGGGGCACTACCACAATTAATTGGAAATTTCCACATCATCTAGCAAATCTGTGCTCTTTTTTCCGTGAACCAAGGAATTTCAAAATCAGCATTTTTCAAAGGTAGAAAATGTAAAATTTTCAACGATGTTTTTCCAGAAAGAGCTTTGAATTCAATGTTTCAAGCAGTGTTCGAAACTCACAGGCGCCAACGCGCCAAATGCGCCTAAAAAATCGGCCATGGCGCCTAAAAAATAAAGGCTCTGCGCCAACGTGGCCCCTAAAAATCTGGATTTTCATAGGAAGTCACCTAAAGGAAGAAAAAAAAATTTATTTGAAGTAAAAAAAACTCAGAATTTTCAGCACCACAAGTGAGAGCTTTTTCTATTTTTCGCGATTTCATTCTTAGTGCTTTTGTTTGTCTTCCCCAAGTTACAGCTACTTACCAGTTCTGTTACGAAAACATCTTGCGTCTAACTTTTCACTAAATGCGCCGTAATATACATATAGGCAAAAAGTAAATTTGGCCCCTAAGAAATTTTCAATGGCGCCTGAAAATCTGGCTTGATACGCCATATGGCTCCTATAACTCAAAGGTGAGTTTCGAACACTGGTTCCAAGAAAAACAACAGCGTTGAAACTTTCGGTAGATCATTTTTTCATCATATAAAGTTTCGTTCACGTCACATTTGAACAAAATCTCTGTGTTCCGCCAAAAAGGGCACAAAAAGGCCCTTTTTTACCGGCTCTTCACATTCTTCGACCGCTGTATTATTATCCTGTAAAAACGAACATAGTAAATCACCTGAATGGGGATTAATGCGAGCTCTAAGCTGGAGTTTAGTTCCAATGGGAACTGCCTGATCGACGGGTAGTTCGTTGCTTGAAACATTAGACAGCCTGGCTGGAGCCTCTTTGTAAAGCGCCACCTCGTACTCTAATCGTCCTGGCGTCTCCTCCACTACTCCCGAGACCCGAGCACCGTGTGGACTGAAGCAAACAAAACACATTTTCAAATGAGCACAAATTGACGAATCCACTCGAGATTTACTCATTATTTGTGATGAAATCAGGCAAACACGGTAAAATGTGCTTGACGTGAAAACTTTATTCGCACTGGGGGGGAAAAAAAAAAAACACATTGGATCTAGAGTCCAGCCTCTTAAAAACATGGACAAGAAAAAGGACTCTTGATTCAATCAGATTTAAGCTTAAATCAAAAGGAAACCCGCTCAAATTAAGAGGCTTGGTTCTTGATTTAAGCTAAAATCTGATTGAATCAAGAGTATCTTTTCGTTGCAGCCGGAGAAATGTCCCCTCGTAGGGAAGATTCCGGTGTCATCCGAGCAGATATGCAGCCGTGAGTTTGGTTTAGTTGGTCGGCTCGACCTCGGTCCCGATCTCCTTAGCCACTCTTGAGTTTTCTCCTAATTCAGAGCCGAAACCAACATATGATAGCTTAACTGTCCAGACGACCCCCTGGCCGAAACCCACCCCATGTTGGGGTGGTAGAGCGAAACGGGGGAAAATCGAAACCCTCGGTTTTGGTTTTCCAAAACTGAGGACATAGGATAGTTAAACTGTCATATCTTCGATAAGATTCGCCACTTTTTCTCCCGGAAGAAGAAGAACTAAAAAAAAAAGAGTATCTTTTCTTGTCGATGTTTTTGAGAGTCTGGATTCTAGATCCAATGTGTTTTTTTTTTCAGTGTGTTACGCACAGAGGGAAAGTTAATTTTGAGTAAAAAGAATAGCTTTTCTGATTACGATGCTAAATACTTTTCAATACGCTCTAGGACAGTGGATCAAAGTTCCAAGTCATGACCCGTATTGTTAATGAACGTTTAAACTGAATCGTTCCGGAGGGTGTAGCGTCAGCACCGGCGCAGTTTTCGCGGACTCCTAATATGTATAGCTCTCACAATTTAAATTTCTCCTAAAGGATACATTTTATTGATTTTTGGGTGTCCTTTTAGCCAAATTATGCAAAATTATCCTTCTTTACTTTAGGTATAGTTTTCTCATTCGTCTAATGGTACATTTTCCCCCAATACATTCGACCGCCGATTTTCTGAAATATTTAGTGCAAAATTCGCCAAAGTCGATCACTCTTTGATTTTGATGGAACTCTACCCTCTTCTTGCGTCTCTAAGGTAAGCGAATTCTTTATAAATTCATTCCGTATAAAAAAATGGGAATAGAGTTGAGAGTAAAAGTTGAAGTTTTTGAATATGAAAAATGTTGAGAAAATGTTAATGTCCTTGTGTAAATAAGCAGACAGAGGAATAGAAAATCTTTTACTTTCATCATCACATAAGAGGAAAGCAATAAATTTCACTCTGTTCTCTTAAATCGAAATTTTATTCCCGTAATGCGTAGGAAAAAAGAGAAAGCCGCGATTTTAATGGGAAAATCACTTTAAGAGGTAATAAAATGTAAACATAAGATTCACTGCGGATGTATTAGATGACTCATTTACCTAAATAAACTGTGCTTATCAAAAACGATGAGTCCTATAGTTCAGTGTAATTTATTTAGATGATCTGCTACAAGGCACAATGCGGGAAAATCTACAGCGTACGATCACATTTTTCTATTAATCGATTTTTCAAAAATGGGCCATAATATATAAGCTCATCGAATGAATTCTACTCATATTTCGCATCGTGATCCAACAGAAAGAAAAAAGTAATGAGGTATCGGCCACCTCCACACGTTTCATAAACATCCGTCTATTGTTCAAAACCACAGAGACTGCTAATATGGGACAGCTGAATGGGTGCTTGGTTTTTTCTTCTTCCTCCTCGCGCGAAAAAGCGAGGAAAAAAGGAAACGAAAGTATGAAACAAGAAGCGAGCCGGTTCACCTAATTCATGCGACACACTTATGGCTCGTTTATTCAAATCATGCAACTGCATTAACACTGCATCATTATGATTGGTCGTATCCCCTCGTCATGTGCAGGGATTGTAACGCTGTCGGATGAAGCAGTTCACGGAAGAGAGAATTGCGAGCGTGGTGCAACAGCAGCTGCAGTTGAACGAGTTAACCAAACCCGATAAATTGCGAGACGTCTTTTCCCAGTAAACAAAGAAGGATAGAGGAAGAAATGGTACACTTTAAGCAATCCGAATGGCATAAAATACACACCTTGTGCTTATAACCTAAGAACTCCAGCACTGTAGGGCCGTCTCTAAATTACGTAACGCACTAACTCCAGCACTGTGGGGCCGTCCCTAAATTTCGTAACGCACTGTCTTGCCATTTTTGACAGATCCCTTTCCTTTAACCCGCAATCAAAAATGGCGCAACGCTTTCCTCGACACCCCCTTCCCCGTCCTCTAGAACGTTTTGCTATTTAGGGACGGCCCATAATACAACACAACGTTTTTTTAATTACGCATGCATTTTTTTTCTTCATTTTTCGAACTTTTCTTTAAAGCTTTATCACGAACGTAATTTCCCTGGTAAAAATTGGCAATCTGTGTTCCAAAATACCATGGACCTACAGCCGGCTGTAAGATTTCCAATTTCTTCTATAGCCGGCTACACAATTTCTTATAGCCTCTTATAGCCAATGGCGATTAAGCAACAGCCAGGCGATAAAGTGTATGCTAAACGTTACTAATTAGGTACGGATGCTAGGACTTAGTGAGTTTTTGGACTACTGCTCTCTTTTTGGGCCGTAGTATCTTGATTTATTTTGCGAGGAAAGCTCCGTACTTTTGATGGATGCCTGCCATTCCTAATATATTAGAGCGCCTTTAGTCTCGTATGATACTGTGCAATACCTCTGGTGTGAAATAGTTGCTTCAAGCGCCGTGGCACGCTGCGGTGCGGCAGGCGGGCAGCCAACGCGAAACGCGCATTGGCGCCCACAAACCTAACAGGGATACTTCACGCATTGCGGCATGCGTGAAGTATCCCTGTTAGGTTTGTAGGCGCCAGTGCGTCGCCGCTCCGCTTTGTGTTATTAGGCTCTAATATTTAATCTGGCAGAGTCAGCGTTATTCAACTCATGATTTTGAAATGTTTGCACATCCTGTATGGATTATTCTCATTTTAATTGATGAAAAAAACATGTATTAAAGGAAAATATAATGTGTGTTATGTAAATATTAAGATGGTTACGTATCACACTTAATGATTTACAAAGCACACGAATTTCTACATAATTTCTTATAGCCTTTTATAATCTATGGCGAAAAAGCAACAGCCAGGCGATAAAGTGTAAAGCCCGGCTGCATAATTTTTTATAGCTTCGTATAGCCCGGCCGTATGATTTCCTCCGCATTCTACAGCCAGATACATGATTTTCTGTGGCCTTCTTTAGCCGGCTATAAGAATTCCTATGGTATTTTGAAACGCAGCTCTTATCGCCAATTTTTACCAGGGTTTTAAGCGACGTGTTTACAGATGGTCAAAATTGAACGAATTTTGGAAACACTTTGAAACTTACGCTTTAAATTATGTTTTGCGGCAAAACTAGGACTACTTTTGCGACGATATACAGAATCTAGCCTCTATCATGGACAGTAAGCTTTGCCAACTTTGCCAAACTTAGTCAGAGTCAGAAGTGCTCCACGCCCCTAATTTTGGCATACTTATTTTCCGAAAAAACTTGTGTGAGCCTTTTCGAGCTAAAGGTTAGTTTTTAATACTTATCTTTCAAAATAGCCGATACACGTAGTATAGTACTACCATATACATTTCTGAATGTTCAGAAAATAAGGGAAGCCGAACATGGAATCAGCTGAAGTGAAATTCACATGTCCGTAACTTGAAAAAGAGGCAGCATGAGCTGAGCCAAAAATTACGGTAGTTAATTGAGTAATCAGCTTGAATAGCGCTATTAAGCTTTCCCTGTTCTCCTCAAGCAGAATACGTGATTCAATTAGGATCTCGAATCTCGGAGAGAAGAATCCAGCTCAAATGTCAAGCTGGATTATGTGGATAATTGCAATGTTGGTCTTTTTCCCGCAAATACTAGAGCATCCAAACATCTAGTTTTCACAAAATCGACTTTTAGGCGCTCAGGGAGCGCATTTGGACTTATTTCTATCAAACAGAACTGAGCGCCAATTTGAGTTCCTTTTGAGGAATTCAGAATGCCAGATAGCGCGCGTTCTGTCAAACGGACCTAAGCGCCATGGAAAAGCATTGCGAGTATAGGACGGAAAAAGCCGGACGCCTGATTCCGCCGCCAATCCAAGCCCCCCTCTACCTTCCTCACCTCATGGCGCTTAGGTCCGTTTGATAGAAATACGTCCATTTATCTCTTATACCTTTCTTCAGTGTTTCTGATATCAAAAAGCGGATGACCATAATCGTTATCCTGAAAAAAATTATTTCTCTCGTACTGTACATTTCTCAAAATTGGTGATTTAAATTTTGGTAGGACGAGTTCTTTCACTTAAGACCACTTTCGGATCAATGGCGCGGGCTGTATTCGGACTTCGGATCCCCTAAAAAACACGATAGAATTTTACGGAATTTTACTCCACAAAATTTTGAATCGCATCTCTGGCTCTGAGTGCAATGCAACACTTTTTTATGCGATTATTATTTTCGAAAAAAAAAGAAAAAGAAATTAGCTCGAGTCAAATTTCGAACTTTCTTAAGAATCATCGGATAGTTGTTGCGGGTTGCATATACACCTTAAAAAATCTTTAAAATTTCATTCCGTGAGACCTGGTTTCGCATCTGCCCCTGGGGCCGAATTTTGTCGGTCTTACCACCGTTCATAAATATACTTAGGACGGGTCTCGACTGCACTTAAGTCCGGCTTAGCGCTTCTGATTCGCCGGTGGTGCGATCTGAGCCCATCGATGGCTGCTGCACTCCGTGTGAAAAAGCCGACGAAATTCGGCCCCTGAACCTAGAGTACCTGTGTAGCGAGAGTATGGACAGATCGCCTCATGGAGGGCTTAGGGCCAAAAGTGCAGCCACCCTTCTAACCGACTTCTAACGCACAAAATTTCACTGCCAGT